GGATCGTTGGTGTCGTTCATGAACAATAAGATCAGAAGTTTTAAAACATTTCGTAAAGCCTGTATCCCAGCCTTGAGGCTGTGCTGTAGCAATACCGCCTTACTCACCTGCAGCAATGCTACAAGTTTTAAAGCACTCTCAAATTGTTGGTGTGTCATTCCTTGATTGAAAGGAGGAACAGACCTCTCCCAAACCTGCACAGAATGCCACAATCACATGAAAGAAAATGAACTTGTGCACATTGTGCACAGGCCACAAGACTCAATATGCCACTGAATAGTCAGGCATCAGCAGAGTGGCAGTCAACAAAAGCAATTCTGGAACCGATTGTGCAAAGAACAATGCAAGTCACAAATGGAACATTGCCAGAAATGGATACCAAAGTTGGAAGGAAAAATTGGAGTCCACAGTGTGGCACATCCCAGAGGCATGCTTTCAGCTGAAGAGACCAGCCTGTCTGGACTGTGGTGTTCATTGAGATCACGTTCTGCACTTCGAATGTGCAGCCATGTGTCCGACAACGCATTGCAGGTTTGTTTTTTGTCACTTTTCAACAAATGCAACCACAGGATCTACACAGGTGTGTTTTGGTGTTTCCAGAAGCTGCACCTTGGCAAGGCTGCCATCATCCAGGCCTGTTCTTCGAAAAAAGTGCACTGCCGATGCTCCTTTCACCCTGCCATCAAGAACATCAAACTTTTCTGGAGATCGATGTACTGTGGGTCTTCCATCCACAATCATGGTCGCAAAACCGACAGATGACCGTAAGCATCCAGCAGCACCAGGATTGAGCTGTCTTGTACTCAAACGACAAAGGCATTGAGAATCAAGTCCGAGACAGGTGCCAAATTTCAGAGGCATCGCAGCAGGTGCCTTTATTTCCTAAAATGCGTAGTTGCGTGAATGCTAGGTTCTGGGCCCTGTTGTGTCCATGCACTCTCAGCAGTGGCATGTTGCCCTGCTCAAGTATCCACCCAAGTATTCACAGGGTTTGAGGGGCCTCCATTTCCATTGAGACAACAACCCTGTCTCCAGGCGATCAAACGTGAAGACATATGCCACGACAACTTCTAAAGCACCCATCACAGCCTTTATGGTGCAAGGCCATCGCTTTGTCAATAAGCAGCAAAACAAAATGATATTGATGACAGATGCAACCAAAGAAAGTTGGACAACAGCATAAAAGATCTTCCCTACCATCCATCCTTGTCTGCTGCCTCCTGAAACCAGACATCCACTGCCTTCCGCCACTCAGATATTTGTGCCTGTGACTGCATCGTGGGTCCTGCTGCAAAAGGTGTTGGGATCTGGGGCGAGGGTTGACACTTTGTGCTGTGGAAACTCCATGCAGTCTGATTCAACAACAATGGCAGAACTGAGTGCAGAATCAGGTTATTGTTTTGGTCGGGCGCAAAGTTGGAGTGCTGGTGCAAGCACCTGACCAAACAACACCCACAGACCTGCTGGCAACCATTCTTGTTTTCCAGAAGATGAGGAGACTGGCTGGGCAGAAGGAATTTCTGGCCAAACTCATGGATGTGCGAGTGTGCGAAAAGATGTGGTTTAGAAACCACAACAGACTAAAGAATGCCCTCAACTTAGCAAGCACAAGCAGTGTTACATGGTCACTGATGACAGGAGAGTGTGGATGCAACATATGCTTGAAATGGACACACTAACACAGTGCCCTGGACCTGCGCAAAGATCGCTATGCAGGCAACGGCAACCACCAGCAACTTTAAAGCCCAGATCAGGAGTAGGCGTCTGTCCATGCAGGGGAGGCGGCGCAGGTTGGTTGGTCCAGTCCCAAACTTCTCCTGGAGCCGTATCCCTTCACACTCGCGAGCAGGACAGCCCAATCTATGCACCTAGCCCAGACAGGCCAACGCCATGCCGATGGATCATGGTCAACCCCTGTCAGGTTGCCGCCAGATCGCCCACACAACCAACGATCACCTGCTCAGACTGCTGCCAATGAGGCAACCCAGCACCCATTCCCTGCCTCGACACCCCTGGCTGCGCCGCGCCGGCGCGGCCGCCCGCCTGGGAGCTCCCAGTTGGGCCGGCTTGTGCAGACCTCGCCATGGCCTCGTTCTTCTGCTGCGCCCTGGACGCCCTGTTCTGCCTCAGCTCCGCGGGCATCAGGTCCTATCGCCATGCCACACGCCCACCCAGCGTCACACCAATCCACACGCCTCCCCCCCTCCCCCAATTCATCGTCACCCTTCCCTCCCTCACCCTTCCCTCGCCCACCCTTCCATTTTCTGTGCACCCTTGTGGCTGGCTCTTGCCGGCATTATCCAGTTCTGCGACGTTTGAACTTTGCCACAACGGTCTCTTGGTTGGCTCACAATTCGGGCGGCGACTTCCTGGCAACCTCCGCGCACAGTCCAATTCCCTTTCCCTTCCTCACCCCACGCCGCACCGCGCCCCCAACCCACCTCGAACGACGGCACCTTGGCCAGTGGCCGGCCGCCGGCCCCGAGCCCCGACATCACCCATGCCGCCGGGCCGGCGGCCTGTGCCGATCTCCACCTGGGCCCGCCGTCCCCCGCCCCCCCGCCACCCCCTCTTGGCCCTCCGATCCCGCGCGGGGGCCCGCCCGGCGCCCTGCCCCCCGCGGGGTCGACCACCGGCCCCCTGTGGTCGCGCTTGTCACCAGACATCTCTCATCGCCGGCATATCGACCGTGCAGGCCGGCGGACGGGCAAGGAGGGCGATGCGCCTCGCGGGCTGTCGCGGTCCCGGCCTGCGTCTCGGGCAGCTGGAGGATGGCCGAGATCGGCGAAAGTGAGGATGGCCGGGAGGCGGGGAGGGGCTACGGGGGGCTGGGGTGGTAGTGGGGAACCGCGGCTGTGTTTTCTGGGAGCGTGTGCGCCGTCGTCGCGGCGCCCTGACGCCTGGTGCTCAGACGCGAGGGTGCCGGAGAGGGGGGCCTGGGGAACGTGTACGTCACCTTTTTGAGGCAGCTTGGTTGCGGTAGGAAAGTATGTCGGAGGCCGGGTGGGCGGACGGGATGACCGTCCCGGGCGCTGGTGCCCCACGACGAGGGCACGACAGGCGTGCGCGGGAACGGGACGGTCACACGTTTTTTTAATTGCCAAGGGTGGGTTCGCTCCTTTCTGCCCACAGAAATTTCTTTTGCGCAAGACAGCGGAGAAGCAGCTCTGTTTCCGCCGTTCAGGCTGCACTGCATGGCCGCCTGCGCCAGCATCGCCATGTATGTCGTTGGCGCCAACACCAAGGGTGCGTCGTGTAACAATTCAAGCAGCGGTACTACTCGAATAGTACTTGAGTACTGCTTGTGCCAAATTCACTGTTGTTCATGCGTTCCCTCACTTCAATGAGTAAGTAGTGCATGTCTGACTGATAGCGGCTGGCTGGGTATCATAACACTTTGGGGTCCGTAAGTGAAATGAACACCCGTTCAACAATATTCTAGCCTCCCATATCCCTTTGCCGAAGCCTTTATGCACCGCTGCGTCAAGGCAAGAACGGTGTTTGCAGTGCTGGCAATGGTCACCAGGAGTGTGCTCTTATTATCCTAACTTCTTTTGCAAAACCCAAGTCTGAGGCGATCTACTTTTGTGAGCAAGCAGAGTGGTAATCTCCATTTCCTGAAATGCACCAAACAGATATCACTGAATGTCGTCTGCAGGGCTCAGAATTCTATCAGAAAAACATGAAAATTACTCTTCTGCCTTGCACACATTCACACCAAGGAACTGAACGTCACTTCTTTGTAGCAGAGATATCATTTGCTGTTGCATGGGCACAAGTGCATGCTTCGTCTGCAACACAACTCCTGCAAGTCCATCTGCTTCGCAATCATCAGTCATCAAATTCTCCCATTGCCAACCCACAGAAAACCATACGGCTGCACAAGCCTGGCTCCAAATACGAACTCCATGGGTAAAAACCATTCACAGCCCAGTCATCTAAAAAACACACTGCTACCAACTTGTATGATTACACTTGTACGACCTGCTTCAGGGCCAGTGCTCCTGCCACACATCCCCTTTTGCATTGCAGGACAGTCACGATCGCATTCGCTGTCCACAAGGCACAGAGAAGAATTTGTTACAACAGAAACAATGCTCCCAAAGCACCTCGAGACAGTGCTTACCAAGCGCTTAAAAAGTGCACTGTGTGCAACTCCTCAAGTGTCTTCCACACTTTCAAACACACTCTCAGCCCAAGAATGGCAGGCTGCCACGTTACACTGTGCTGAAAACAAACAGACCTGTCCATGTTCGCCTATCCTCGCACTTTGCAACACACAACTTCCTTTCCTGCACTTCCCTTTCCACCTGGCGTTGTCTATCTGCGTACCTCTGACACTTCAATGCTAACCAAGGAATCCTGGTTTCATCAACACACATACACCGACAACACCGACAGGCGCACCAGACTCAAGGGGAAAAGAACAGCGATGTGTACTTGACACTGCACAGATGAAGCAGTGCTTCACCCTCACATTGACTGCGTAGGCACAAAGCACCATTCAATCTTCTGCAGGCGATCTACCATCAGGTGACTCGTTGGGATTATCCAAGCCTGAACGCGATGGAGAACGGCTGTACTTCCTTGGAGATGGGCTGTCCGATTGAGCCCGCCCATCAGGAGAGGCAGGTGGCAACCTGCTCGCCCTCCTCCGCCCAGGGCTTGAGTCTTGTGAGTCCCTGCAGGTGCCAATCGTCCAGTGAATGCAATACATAAATAAACGCAACACAACAGAGAAGAGGGCAGCGATTGTGCCAAACCCTCATAGTATATGACCCCAATGGTATTGCCCATGCACTGCTTTTTTCTTCTTTCTTCGGGGTTGCAGGCCACCAGTTGCAGCGGCATACAAAGATCATGAACACCTCAGGAGCCAGCAGGATGGCAGGCTTCAGAGCAATCCTCCTCAATGACAATGTGCAGCCAAAACAAGGCCGAGCACTGCCCATGCATAAACTAGACGATGTTGATCAAGCCTTCTACACATCATTGTCTTCTGTACCTGGGCTCGCTGAGTGTGAATGCATGAAACTATTCAAAGGTGATACAAACCTGCGAGGCCCAGGCGAGGGGCTCTTGGTCCGGCTTTTTCGAGAAGGTGGCGAGCGGCTATCATACCGCCTCCGAGGTGCATGCTGGTGGCGACCATAATCTTCATGGTCCCCATAATAGCCTCGATCGCCTCCATAGCCACGGTCACGACGATCGCCACCATATCCACGGTCGCCACGAGCACTGCCGTAGCCACCACCATAACCACCACCCCCATAACTGCCACCGCCACCGCCACCATGGTAGCGACGAGGGGGTGACCGCGACGTGTACCGACGGCGCGGTGGAGAGCTGCCCCCTCTGTAGCGACTGTAGCCACGACCTGACAGCGAGAAAAGAAGTGAGAAAGGTGTACAGAATTGATTTTGCTGCTACAACAATCGCAGGCCTGTGTGCAACGTGCTCAATCATAGGCAGTGTGCAGTCAATCATCGGCTGTGTCCACAATGTGGAATTGGATGGGATGCCTTCGCAGCTTGTACACAAAGGAAATGCCCTGCACAGTGCACACCCCACATGTGCTGCTACCTGCATGCCACCTTCACATGCGCTGTGCATCTTCCCTGTACTTCAGAGGGCCAAGTGCCAAGGCATCTTTTCGAATCCTGGCACTCCAATACGTGCATGATTTCCTCGGGCACCCCAAGCCTTGAGCTCGTGATCCCTCAACTCCCATGTTTCCTCAGAACCAATTCCCTACAGCCTCGATTTGCCAGCACTCGAAAGCGCACACGATTTCCTCGGGCACCCCAAGCCTTCAGCTCGTAATCCGTCAACTCCCATGTTTCCTCAGAACCAATTCTCTACAGCCTCGAGGACATCAGACTTCGGTTCAAGACCCCGATGGCTAAAACCTGCCGCCCGTTACCACAGATCAGGTAACATGCAACATTGCAAGGCGCTGATCAGGAAGTAAGCCATAAGGTGCGCGCCCCCTAGGCCACTGCCACGTGAGATATTTCCTTCCTGGTGGATGGTGGCTACAGACACAACACTCACTGGCCAAGGCACATTTTTGAAGAGCATACCCTGCATGTGGCCCCTTCCACACTGACAAACTTACCCCCTCCACCGCCCCTCCCGCGGCGGTAGTCATCAGGACGCTTGCGGCCCTGCATCGCGAATACGGCAGAGATCTGCGTGCAGCCATCCAATCCAGTCAGCCCAAGTAATCAAAGCACAGGACCGGCAGCACTGGCAAAATCGGACGGAATCTATGTGCCTCCAGGGCACCCACTCCTGTCAGCCAGTCGTCGTGAAAGCACAGGATACATGCAATCGATGACAGGCGCCCTTTCTTATTGAAATATTCCAATGCATAGGGCTGGCAGCATTTTCCACGTCCCACGGGGTGTGTGTGCCCTGTCACTGAAGGCACCCGCTGCAAGGAACTGTCGTCGCCACAAGCAGAAGACCCGCAGCAGACACATTAACTTCTGGGAGCTGAGCTCCCCAAGGCCACCCACCTCACGCCCCAGCAGCACCACCTTGTCCATCTGGTGCTTGGCCTCTTCTGCGTCCCTGGGGTTCGTGAATTCGACGAAGCCTATTCCCCTCGATTCGCTGCAGAGAACACAGGCCACACAGGGGATTGCAGTCAGCTAGGCGCTGCCAGACACAAGCACAGCAACTTGCATTCCACAGGTCTCCTTCAGAGATTCAGCAGCCTCTGTCTTGAGGACACAGCAACTCACCCAGTGTAGTAGTCCCGGGGAAGGTAGACGTCCCTGACCGGCCCATACTTCTCGGCGAAGTATCTCAAGTCGCTGTCCCTGAGGTTCAGGAGCACAGATCAACGGTCGACCCCAAATTGCTTCCCCCCCCCCCTTCCATGTCGCGAGCAGCATTCCCAGATGGAAACAGAGCAGGGCAGAAAAAATTCACGACAGATTGCCCTGAGTTCGCTGCTTCTTGGCGCCCGCGCGGCCCTGCGCTGGCTTTCCGCTCCCGTTGCACTTGAGAACTCTGCGCACCACAATCCAACGAACGAAAAGGAGCAACACAAAATCCTCGGGGCAGGTTGCGAACGGGGAGCCCACCAACCTGGTGTCCTTGTGCAGGTTGCGGATGAGGAGGCTGCAGCGGCTTGGGGGATCGCGGCGCATCGGCGTGCCCGGCGACCTCGATCGAGAGCGCGAGTAGGACCGCGCGTGGTACGACATGGCGGTGGCCGCCCGTGCTGGGCAACTCCCAAACACTCCTTCAAGGTGGTGGCCACCGCGACGAACAATCCGTGGAGTGGACACCGCCGCAGACATTTTCGCGCTTTGGCAAAGTACTAATGTGTCCTCGCAATCAGAAGCGGCTGAATTTTTGATGAATTGCCACCCGCACGGATGAATGTTGGGCCCACTTCTTTCCCTGTATTGCCATCGGCAAATACTCCTCGAACACCAGGAATCGATGGAATCTGGACTCCGTTTATGTTATAAATTAGATTTCGGTGAACAGATCATGAGCACTGCTTAGCTCGTGCAAAATACGAGGCTGACGGCTACCTCCTTGAACTGTTTGTGCCAACATTCGTACTGATGATGATGAATGTTGTCCCTGCAAGTCCCCCCCAGATTTGGTCGGGCCTTTGGCACCTGTTTCCGGGCTTTTGCCAACCACAGTCAGCCAGCGCAAGGGCTGTAGGCAGTGCACAGGAGAAGGCCGGTTGCCTTTCCCCGGAAGCAAAGGGGATCTTAGCTCATTGTGTGTGTAGCATGTACTCGGATAGCATCATGCTTGCTCATGGGTGTTTTGTGCCCATCGGTTGGCATCAATGTCAGTTTCCACCAGTTTGTAGGGACTCAATTGGGCTCCGCAATTGCTTTGGATGCAACTTGACATTTCTGCGCATTGAAGCCACAAAATGCAACACTGAAATCCCTGATTTTCCTGAACGGTGGCTGTTTACAACGTGCCTTATTCATGCGCAACCACCCACTCCGCTTTCGAGAAATGGCGGTCGTTCCTTTCTGAAGAACTGAGATGGTCCAACGCCTCGAACAGCACTTCAATATGCCACCACTTGCTGCAACAAAGGGAGGGACAACTGTGGAACCACATTGTGCAGAAGCAGATGGCATAGAATGGGTACGTTGATGGTTAGTCTCCACGACAGGCCCATATCAGGAGGCACAAGGTGGATGTGGAAGCTCCGAGCATGACAGTACAGGGTTTGGACACAGTTATTTACCTCTTTGAGTGGAATTCTGTTGGCACAAGCATCTTGGAAATAAAGTGCTCAAAAATTGTAACATTGCTTCCAGTAGGAAGGTAGGCGATGACACGGGCATGTGCCACATGTGTTTGTTACAAGCTAACAATGACACACCATCCTTCATGCTGTTCCGCACGTTGGTGGCATTCAATCCAAGGAACGAGCATCGATGGAAGGTGGCAGCAGCCAGATCAACATTCCCTTGAACAAATAGGGCTGACGGACAGGACAATGATGAATAGGGAGGCACGCCAACACTTCAAGGGGTGGGCAGGGTGGCAGGGCACCCATCCCCCAGCAGCTTCACGTGCACGCGAACCTTGCAGCAGGCAAGACAAGCACCAACTGGAATCTAGGCGTTCTATCCCCAGTCCATCGGGACACCACTCTGTACATTATCTTACAAGTGCAACTTAGCCATACTGTTCATCAGGCTACATTCAATGCAAGTCCATGGTGTGTCAGTTATTGTGCTTTTAGCCAGTAGGATTGACACAATACCCTGCCCTGCACGTGTGGTCTGCGCCGTCGGCCCCCACTGGGAGCCACTTGTGCGTGGAACATAACCGGAGGCATGGAAGCCTTCTAAGCCCTATCAACCTCCTATTCATGGCTAGCCTGCGGCAGCAGCTGGCGCCTCGCTTCCCGTTTGCCTCTGCATCGCCTGGGACTGCGCCAGCATGCGATCATAGTCCTTTTCCGATATCATGGTGTCCTCTGGCTGAACCACCTTGTCAATCAACCCGTATTCGATCGCGCTCTCTGGTGTGAAGTACCTGTTGCGACCACTGTCCCTCTTGATTTCATCCTTGTCCCTTCCCGTGAACCCAGTAAGGAAGTCCACGTAAGTCTCAGTGCAGTTCTCCAACTCATTGGCCCTGATCATCACGTTGCTGGCAACTCCGTAGGTCCTGTTCGCTCTTGGAGGAGCGAGCATTATCCTTGAGTGTGGAAGCGCATACCGGCACCCCTTCTTGCCTGATGCCAGAATCATGGCTGCATTCCCAAACGCCTGGCCGACCACCACTGTGTACTTTTGGGGCCGGATGTAAGCCATTGTGTCAAGAATGGCATAAGCCTCTGTCTCAAACCCAACTGTTTGGCCGTCGGGAGTCTGAGACCCAACTGAGTTTATGTACACGTAGATGGCCTGCTCTGGATTGTTGTAGTTCAACCACAGCAGCTCGGATATCACCAACTCTGTGACTTGGGCCACCAACTGCAGACAAAGGCACATAGAACTATGTGGACAACAATAAACCAACTGCATTTGTGACCGTGAGCATTGTCTCTGATGTTGAACATTGTTGGAGGGGTCACATTTCATGGTACCTTACCTGGTGATGATGACATCAATAACTGGAACAACACAACAAATACATGGCAAAGTACGTTCAGACATATAAGTTTAGATTGCAGGCTCTCTCGCACATTCCTCAGTGATGTGCAGAGATTTTGGAACTATCAGGTGAGTGTGAAGGTTCTCACAAAAATTGTTGTTCTTGCTGTTCTCCAAAGATAATATCTGTGCGTCAGCTAAAAAACTACCAACAGCCTTTTAGATGTTGTCAGCCAACCTTCACTGACCTCAGGAGCATCCCAATGAATGCCACCAAGATTTAATTTGCCAACTTTTGAATCTAGCAAATGGGGTACCAATCATATGGTGTGCACAATCTGTTAAACTCCCTGACATTTGTCCAACCAGCAGTTCTTGGACCTTCTTGGAATGTGGCTACCAGACCACTCCACTGATCGAGTCCGAAATGGACATCACAAGTTGCGGCCGCAAATGAATCTGCCAATGAGCAGAATTTGATGTCACCACCGCTCACACAAGCTCCCTCCAGTGAGCATTGGCTCCACTGTGCATCATTTGCATAGACAGTGCAACAGTATGGCCAGCGTGTCTACCCAACGGCTTGAACATCTCCCACACACATCACACTACTCTGCATCTCACCTGCCGATTGCATGCTCCTTTGTACATGACTTTGTTTAGACACCCAGTAATGCGGCTCAGTTGCTGACAGTGATTTAAAGAATTTGCCAGGACATTGAACAACAGCCAAGGTACGGCTGCGAACTGGCGCATGGCAGCGCATTTACCCCGTGCGATGCTGAGGCTGCTTCGGAGCCTCCTGCTGGAGCCCACACCGGTCGAACGCAATACAGCCGACTGACAATGCTGTACAAATCTCCAGATCCACACCCCATCTCCCAACATGCAACACATTTCCCCATCCTCAATGCCCCATAGTTTCCCTTCCCCACAATTCGCAAACCCACGACCCCCCCGCCCTCCCAAGCCCCGCCCTGCCTAGGCGCACCAACCCCGCACCGGCATGCCGATGTAGCATATCCGCCCGTCGAGCAGCAGGGAGGGCAGGTCCGGGGGGGCCTGGCTGGGCGGCCGGCCCCCGGCCATGCGCGTCGCGATCCTCGTGTGCTCGCTCACGATCTCGCCTCCGTAGTGCGCCGCAGAAGTCAGCTCGTCCTCGCGCACGGCGTGCCGCCTGGCGACCTCCTCCCCCACCAATCCCAGCGCGGCCATCTGCCTGCTCGAGAGGCCGAATGCGGACTTGGGAACCACCAGCCTGACGTCGGAATCTGGCGGGCAACCTTCCGGATTGATGCCGATGCCCATCGACGACTGTGGCGCCGTGGGGGCCCTTGCTTTCAGGCGGGGCAGCCGGGTCGCGGCGGCCAGGCTGCGGCGTGTTGGCCATGGCGTCGGGGCGCCCCGCGGCGCGGTGGGCGCCAGCGGCGCTTGCGTCCCCATTGTGGCCCCCCCGCTGACGGGCCACGCCCGTTGTTTATGCGCACAAGGGGCTGATGTTCGAGCTCTTGTGCAAAACTACTGACTTCACTGTTCGTTGCTGGCGGGTTTGATGTGGGAAGGGCATTTGTGCCGTTTATGAAATCAACTATCTTGTTAATGGGTTTTTGCCACGGGAGACGACGGTTGGGCTCCGCCAGCGATTCAAACGGCGCAGTTTTTGGAACCCGGGGTTTTACTCAGCCACCGTCCCGGGGACTTTCTGGCCACCCTAATACTGTTGGTCAGCCAAAGTACGAAAATACGAGGTGCCGCCAACCTGGGCGCCCTCGGGTTTGGCGGGCTTTGGCAGGGCTGAGCGAGGGCAGCTATTTAGGCTCCCCCCTCGGTCCCCTTCCCTATCTTGTTTCGCACCCGGCCCTCCCGCCCTGGAAAGTGATGTTCGGTTTAGTTGTGGGATGGAGAGGGAGTGAGGGAGTGAAGTACGGGATTGGGGAGCTGACTCATGGGGAGAGTCACTCGCTGAGTGGCGTGAAGTACTAGCGAAGCGAAGGGCAAACTGTGAGTTTGGGGACCTCGGGTACAATACATTGGCCTGTGGGAACTTGTAAGTGTTTGTCATGGTGGATTACTTGAACGGGTGGGCCCAGGAGACCGATAAGGCAGAAGGCGTTTTTGCTGGATGCTCTGCACGCCATGCGCAAGATGCCACTGCACAGAATGGCCTGAGAGTGCCACCAGGATAAGATTCAGGAGCTGCCACGAGGAACAGGGCGATATGGTCAGTGCTGGAAGAGTAAGCAGGCTGCTTGTGTCCCTGTAAGAATGAGGAAAGCACATAGTTTATGGCAGAATGATGCGTGAAATTTTGTATTTCCTCCCTGCAACTGAAGGGTTCCGATCATCTTTCAAGCCATGAAGTAGAGACTCGCCTTCTTTTGTTGTTGCGGAGGGGGTTGTACTTGTACGACATGTTTCAACGTCTTTTTCACGCTTTTGAATATGTCGCAGAGTCTCCGATTGCCAAGGGAAACACAAAACAGCATGCATCTCTCATTGCGGTAGCCGTTATTTGCCCACTCTTTAAGTGATCGATGTATCCATTCAGTGTATTCTACCAACTCTCTGCAATTTGCACTTTTCCTTTTTCCTTTTCTCAAATCCCATCACTTTCTTTCTGTGACTGCCAGGTTGTAACATACGATTCACCCCATGGCGTGAGATCATCCAAAATGGCGTGCACATCGCCTGGTTTATCGCTATTGGTGACTTTAAGAGTCGTGATTGGTCTGCATTAAAGCTGGTCGCCATACAGATGTATGTTTTCCGTCCATTTTGCCCCTCGATAGTGTCTGGCGGCATGCGACATGAAAGCAACACTGCCGCAGCAGCAAAACGTGCTTAACTATGGCACAAAGGCATGGCCTAACCAATACCTTGTGACATCGGAATTCTAACATAGAGTCGACGGTCGATCCACACCCCTCCTGGGAGCGCCAATGACCCGAATGGGGTTCGCTCCAATGGAGCAGACACATCGTCTCAGCAAGGCAGTTCCACTGACTCCCAGTGCCTGTATTACATCAATGTATCACGAGACACAAAAAGAAGAGACCCCCACGTCATGCGCTCAGATAACGCAAGTTAGCTCAAATGCCTTTCTTCCCCCCACTGCCCATCAGTCGAGAGCACGACGTGGAGCAAGATTGAACCCATATCTTTGCACTACCTCATTCTGCACTGCCGTTGGCTCCCATAGACATGATCAGCAAGCACCAAGATATGGTTGTTCCAGCAATCGCCCTGGCTATCACGACATTACAACGCAGTCTCTTCGGTAACCATGGCCCTGGGGCGAAAGATAGACAGCGCCAACAATCAAGCCACGGAAGTTCAGTTGCAAATTCTCCAGTTCCGTCCGTCCATATGTTGTTGTTGCCTGATGGATCCAGGCTGACGGCTACCAAAAGGGCACAAGTGATCTGTCATGGCATCCAACTCTTGAAGAGACAGCTGGCCTTTGGCCACATGCATTAAACCGGTGCCACATGCGTTGAACCGGTGCCACCACGATCCCAGTTTTTCAGCCGACGGCCAGTTCTGAGACTCCCTTTGGGCGGTCTGTTGTTGGGACAATGAGAGGAGCAGCCGCTCAATGGAACACACTTCCAGAGTTTGGAATGGATTCTGAAGGATCCTGGATGGGAGAGGATCCTGTCGAACATGCAGCCTCCATATCATGTGGCACGCAAGCCATCTCACAAACAAGGTGAACTAAAAGGTCCGTTGTGTCTTTCCAGGCGACACCCATCAAAAGCGCGACGGTCAAGTGAATATTACATGAAGCACAAACAATGGAGTACGGTTCTATCCTTTCGTTGTAATCCAAATCGCACCCTCTTCTCTGGCGTCTTTATGTCTGCATTTATGTCTACCTACCAAATACACCCCCAAGGCTATCATGTACCCGCGTCACGGCACCTCTATTGCTGCACCCATCCCATTCCTTGCTGCTTTAGCAGCGGCCTTCTTGGCTGCAACTTCCTGTTGCTCCACCATCATTTTTCGCTTCATGCGCATTCGGTATTCATCCATCGACGGTTCCCATGAGCGAACTGGGTACATCCCGTCACCCTCGTCGTCAAACCTTCCTCGCCTGCGGCCATTCGCATCGTCACCTGCAAAGCAAGCAGCCCCATTATATCGAGAGTTCCACAACGGCCCCAATACATTCCGAGTCATAAAGAGTGCAATTTCAGCCTGGGTGGGCAGATACACCCGCACATGACAATAATGGCTCTGCCTGATGCAGCAGTGACAGAACTTGATGCAACGGAGTCGCCTGTGCACAGCTGGATAATGCTGCAGCAATGCTCATGCATTGAACCATTGATGCTGATGCCAACTGTTACTGAATCTCGCTGTTGCGACATTGCCGCAGCACTGCCGAGCAGTGCATCAACCACAATGTGCCGTCACTGCCACATCGAAAGCTGGCAAATTTCCATCATGAGCAGCAGACGATGCAAATTGTGGCAAGACTAAGACGCCATATGATGGCGTGCATTGATGTACCCATTTAACGGGATGGCAATCCCAATTGCCCAAGCGGCCAGATTGCCCATGCGGCCACAGGGGGTCGCATTCCACACAGCATTGCTTTTTGGATTTCGATTTGCAGGTGGCGATTTTCGTGACACCATTGGCCACAAAACATTGACGCTGCTGACAGTGCACATGCATATGGAAACAGTGGCGCATTGCAATTCATCAACATTGCATCCAAAGCACCGAAACTCAGCTTGCAGGTCTACGAACATCCATGCCATCTACCACAGCACAAGCAACTGCGAGCATAAGTCAGACTTCATGTCCCAGGATGTGCTCAGCAAGAAGAACAAATGTAAGACCCAAGTCTTCACCTCTCAAATGATCGTGAAGTTTTCCCCCACCCATTCCCTCCGCCTCCATGCATTGCCGAGAAATGCTTGCCATGGACAAGTCTGCGTTCCTCAGCCCAGCCATCACTTCCTCTGCGTCTGGAACAACGCCCTCTGCTCCTGTTGGGGTAGGCAGCCTGTTTATGAAGTTGCCCAGCACGGGAGGCAGCCTCAAAGGCTCCGCCTCCCGCTGCATTCCTGGGCCTGTGGCAAAACCATGAGAAGATGAAGGTTTCCTGCATGTGGTAATATGACAAAGATGTGCATGCCATCCCCCATGCTATGCCCGCAATACACGACGCATCAGAATGTTTCATGGCCACGTCCAGGGCCGCCCATGTGGACAAAACCATGAGAACAACACAAGAGCCGTCATTGACGCTGTGCAGCCACAATGCATGCCTCAGAAGCGGCTTTTGCACAATTGGGAGGACTGTCTGCGACTGAAATGCAAACTCAAAAGCTGCCAAATGTATGCAGGGATTTCCTCTAATGTTTTGGGTGCGTCGTGCGAATTTCATGGGCACCTCGAGGTCCACAAATTTGGCATCACCACTTCCAAAACACTTTGCACACAGTGATGCTTCATGCATTACCCATGTACCACCGCAATGGAAACAGGTCCCCGCTGCATTTAGCTCAGCAAGCAGCTTGACATAAACAGCAATCCAATAGAGGTTAGGTCAAGATGCTTGCTGCGGCCTGAAATCGCGAATACCTACTTCCTGCTTCGTTGTCTGCAATAGGGATGGAATTCGTAGCAAGCAACAACCACAACTTGAGAACGTCAATACTGTATTCTACCTTGCAGATCCCAATTGGTGATGCATATATCTCCATTGAATACATACTTCAGCACTGAAAATCAACAGCTCTAATGATAGCAAAAACAACAATAAACGATAATACTGATGCAGTACGTAAATCTGCACTGAATGCATTCTTCAAAAGCTATCACATTGCCACCCGTGGCCACACTGGGGGATGCTAGTAGCTGCTCCAATCCGAAACTGTTCCTTCCCAAAACTGCCTTGGCTCTTGCACCTGAGGATGCACCGCCTCCACCCTCACCCCATGCCCTCTGGGCCTGCGGCCCCGCCATCATTGGTGGTGGCGCCATCATTCCCAGCACCCTCTTCATGTGGTCTGTCTGGATGCCTTGCGCCATCGGCCAGATGTCCAGGAACCGGTAGCGCGATATGAGGGAGTGTATGTTGTTAGTAGTTGTGTCACCAAGGGCGGCTCGCTTGCGCTCCTCCACGTCACGGGCAAAGGTGATGTCGCCGACTTCGTACAGCACCTGGATGTACTTCTCCCACATGGCCTGGCTTTTCTGGCAGGGCTCCAACATGAGCGCACGCTCAAACACAGCCCTCGTATTCTCCAGGTCATTGATGCCTGAAACACAGCCCATATAGCTTGCAGCGTTAAGGCACCCACACATCACAATTTACAGTTCACTCACCTGTGCACGGACTGTATTGTTGACTGTTGTAGTGGTGCTGCCCATAAACTCAATGGCGCACGTGAGGTAAGATGAAGGAACGTTGCAAAACAAGTCGTCATCTTGTTAAGGTGTAGGGGCAATGCCAAGTGATTTTCTCAATAATGGCAATTGGGAGATGGGCAATGAGTGACATGACGTTGTTCAGGACGCCCCATAAGGGCACAAACATGGGGACAACGACAACAACAACTGCAAATCAGCACAAAGGTCTCAACATAGACACTGAACAATCGGTGGCAAAAAGCAGCATAACAGCAGCAAATATGGTGACAGTCCTTCCAGCGGGCCAATTGCTGCAGTGCAGCCATTGCTTCTCTCCATCCCTCACCAAGCAGGAAGTTGATGTACTGCAACACAAAGTCAGGGTTCCCAAGATGCTTCCTCATCCCCTTCTCGAATATTCGGACAACGACGTCCTGCTCCTTTGACCTCCACTCAAGCATTGCGCCTGCCACATACACCTCCCAAGGGCAGCTCCCTGATTTCGTGGCACGTATGAAGAGCTGAACACACACACACACACACACACACACACATAACAGCCAATACTATGTTGGAAACATTTCATCAGACTATGTTGGAAACATTTCATCAGACAACAGAGGTTATGACCTAGGGCTGCTGCTCTAGTGCAGCTGCAGAAAGCAGGAATTGACGTGCCTCAATATTAGTGCAATGAATATCTTGGTGTACACCCAAACTGAACCGGCAGTAAGCATGTTTGCAACCTTGTATTCTTGCATGTACTGGGGGGGAACATCAAAGGAAGTGAACATCAATAATACAGTATCTATCCAGCACATGCCAGCTACAGTCTCTTCCCTTTGGATAGTTGCCCAAAACGCAAGAAGCAGATCACTATATTCTCACATGCGAATGTTTCGACGTTGTCCAAATTGGGGCCATACCTAGTCCACTTTCAGTACAGGTAGAACTTATTCCAATATGAGTTGTATTGGAGCTGGAAAGGACTCGCACTCTTTTAGTGTTGAGGGTGTCCAGGCTTCAAGATATTGGATGTAGGTCGCAATACCATGACAATGTTGGAATTCGAGTGGATGGGGATAGGCTTAATGTCCTGGATTGGGAAGCCCATCTTGCACCAAATACCCTCCACCGAGTGTGGATTAATTTTCCCTCGATTTGGACAGAGTTTAACCTCTGCACACTCCTGAGAACTGATATACACGAGCATCTAACACCTACAATACAGAACGTTATGCACATGCACACACTCGCACACAGCCTCAAGAAGCACACACCATGGCCATCCTTGTGCTGCTAACGAAATACGGTATTACCTGTACACCCATATTAATCCCCTTCTGCCTTCAGTGAGCTACTGTCAGCACCACTTTGGGGCAGCTGCAAGGTCTCCCACTCATTACACACCTCTCTGGAAGTCTTCTGCGTTTCTGCACGCCTCAGAAAGCGCATGTACGTTATCCAGATGAGAGCAGCCTGATCAGACAGATCAACCCCAGCCAGCCGGTCTTTCGACCTGCTGCCTTCCTCTTTTTCTTCCATTCCCTCAAGACACCGAACCAGCTCCTCATAGACGTCTTTTGCCTTTTCGATGTGCCCTTCGCTCTCCTCAACGTCGGCCAAGGCAAAGTGCAACATCAAGCAATTTGGCAGGCACTGCACACAACAATAATAGCATCAATCGCAGACCTCCAAGACAGGGAGAAAACCAGGTAAAGGAGCACAGCTAACTGCAGCTCAACCTTGCAGACTGAGCCAACCAAAGGCCGCAACCATGCTTGCTGCACAACTGCAGCTCTGGTTATGCAAGCAGCATAGCTTTGATAATCCGCAACACCTGGAAGACAATGTGTGGAAACCTTTTTAACACAGGTGCACTTTCGACACTAGACCAACAGCTAGACCAACCAGTTTGGCAGTCTTCAGGTAGGGAATTTCATCTTCCGGCTCACACAAGAAATACACCAAATGTGCAACAAGCAGGAAACACACCCTCAAGCAATACCTAATTGCTGTAAAAGTTACCAAGAACTTGGCCTGTCCATCAGTGTGCTGAACAAAAACATACCAAATGATCTCCAAAACCAGCCCACGCTAGTAGGTACAGTCTCCCCAGCAGCAATTCACATTTCCATCGGGCCACAACAGAGATCCAAAAATAAGCACGAATCAATCAATGCCATGCATTCCAGGTGGAGTGCAAGCTGCTGGAAAAACTGCAAACAATGAGCAACATTTGCTGTCCAGAATTCTGCCAAATGGCGATGGAGCAGGTCTCGTACCGTCCGAGCTCTGTCAAGGACTTTGACTGCAGACAAGGTCCCCCCACCAGCAATGTGGAAACGAGCATAGTCGTTCCAAATCTGAATGCACAAGGAGCCAAATTAGAGTTTGACAATCTCAGGTCAAAAACTCAGACAACCTGCTTCCATAGAATGTGCGTCACCTGAGGAAAACTGGACAGTGTTGACATTTTTGTAACAAGATACAATTGCAATAATACAAAAACAGTAAGTGAAGCATCAACATTAACTCAATCGCTGCACTTCCTACACAGGCTATACTTGAGGACAGCAAGCGTGTGTGCATACAGCTTGTCCTCCAGAAAGGGAGTGTTTCACAAAAACAAGCATCGCACTGTGCGCTAAGCTATTTGAGTGCGAGGACACCCAGGGACAGTAGCACCCCATAATGACTGAATGGTGCATCTTGAGGTCCGTTATGTTCTGTCGGATACATTTCTGGACATACAATCGCAATACACAGAAGAAAGCGTGGCGAAAGATACCACAGCGTACAGTAGATAACAGAGCGATCAGACAGACAACTAAGCATGGAAACAACACAGGATGAGCCTGCCCTACGTGTGGAATCCATCAATGCTCACGTGCGAAAATCAGGCAACCAAATTTGGTTGCAAAACATCAACAAGGTGTGACTCACCTCTGGGTGGTGCACAAGGCACATCAGTGCTTGATCGTATGCCAAGCTGACACGAGCAACGAGGGATGGTTGGTCCAGCCTCTGTGGGTTGGACTTTTCAAACTCCAGATACTTTAGCCATAAGCCAATTTGTTCCTGCTGCTGTGGCCCACCTTCACCTGACAATTCACCAACCATGCACTCTCCAAGGTTAGTGACTCTGCCAAGGCCCCACAAACCCTATCTCCAGCAATTTGACAGAGTACATTCAGCACTTTGATTCAGGTCCATACAGGGTACTTGTGGGGGCACAGCTCCTGGCCATGGTTATGTCCAGAGCAGGTAATCCTCCACAAGACAACCAAACGCCATAAATGTGCAGGACTTTCTGGTCAGAAAGAACAGTTGCCACGTAACAGTGACAAGGGCTTGATCTTTGAGAGCACACATCACCACAGTTCACAATGTTAGACACCGCGTTATGCACCATTGTGTGTCAGAAGTGAGCTAATCAAACAGGTTCCCCGGCTGTCCACTGGAGCATCGGCACTGTCCATACGATGAACAACCCCAAACACCCATGCTTGCTACCTGAAGAAAAGGCAGGTGTCAAGGCTTTGCCAACAGCATCGATGTACAGTCAAGATATGGAAAACAGCCACAGAGTGCAATTGCCAACGTTGCCAATGCTTGATATTCGGAGTGCAAGCAGGACACAGCAACTGCTGCAGAGCCCAAGAAAAGAAAAAAAAAACATGCAGTCCAATAGAATGGCTGTTGCGCAAAATGAAGAAATCTGCAGAATTGCTCTGGTCCATCCCACAGTACCAGAGCAGCTCACAGATGGGCTAAACCACTTGTACACAGTGTGTTCAACAAAATTGTTCCCCATTGTGCAAAACTCCTTCTCCAGCATATAATGGCCATTCAAACAAGGGCCAATTCACAAGCCTTTCATGTTCCATGTCACACATGGTAATGGAGAAATATTGCTTTGCGACTTTACAAGCTGCTGGGACTGTCCTTTTGGAAGGGCAGTGATCAAACATTCATTCATAAACGTTGGATGGAGGGCACAACGCCTGCCATCCCCTTCCCATTGCCAGTGCAGTCTTGCCAAGCTTCAAAAGTGCAATAAGAGCAGAACATCGCTCTTCACACCTGGCCACCAAAACCAGCACAGCACCAAACTCTGAAAATGGTCTGCAACAGCGTCTGGTAAGGTGCTGGATGCCATTGCATATTCATGAAGCTTCTCCCCAGTTTTCTATCACCATGAAATGGCGCCACAGCAGAAGGGTGCACCCAAACCCCCACATAAGTGTTGCAGCCTCCCTGCTGAAACAGCCAGGGGATTGCAGTCTCGCCAGCAGCAGGTGCACTTCATCTCTAAACCAAGCTTCCAAACAGACTGCACTGCCGGAAACAAGACTACACCGTCAACATAAAACCCCCCATCCCACCACACCACCACCCCTTCCTGCGCAAAGAGACAAAGTGGCAGCACCTGGGGGTACAGCAAGCGCTGTGTGCCTGATGCCTTCCAGACGGCTCTTTCTCTCATTGTACACACGGCGAGCAGACATGTATCGTGAGCGGTGCTCATCAAGGAGGTTCCTGCCCAGGGTCTTGCTGGTGCCTGTCTTCTCAAAATTTTCGTAGGCCTTCCAGATGGTATCCAGGCGGTGGGTGGGCACAGCGACTGCACGCTGGTACTGACGTCTGACAATCACAAACAAGTACGTTGACGATGGGGCTATTGGCTGCTCAAATCCTCAGGTTACATTCCCACACACACCACAACTCACTAGCCAACTCACTTATTGGGCAGCACGGTCAAGCAGCCAACAAGCTGGGCTGCACACAAGTTTCAGAAGGCAACACTGAGGGCACAAATGGAAGGGCCATATGGATTTCCAGATACCGTGACTCCTGCAGCTTTTGTGCAGGACACGCCACCAACAGGCAAAAAGTCTTGCACCACGATGGCGAGTAATGCCCACGTGTGAAACGAGCGATAAAGTCCCGTGGACAAGAGCAATACATCTATCCCTGTCCGCAGAGGCAAGCGGATTGGTAGTTGGCAGCTGCTGCGCTGCCAAGCAGCATTTAGGACCCGGTTTCTCATATCTGCCTCAGCATATGGTACAAATGTCTCCTTGATCTGAAACTACTCTTCCTCTGAGTCTATTGCCGTATTTCAGTACTGACAACAAGGTGTTGGGAGCATTTAAGCATTTGTTGGTGGTACCCTCTACCACAGCTCTCAGTGCAAAATTAAATAAATGCACAACAAACCAGTCAGCACAACTCGGTCCACTGTTTGTTTCTTCATGCTGGATGCCCATCCCCATCAGGAAGCATTGGGACAATCCAATCCCATGCGACGTTGCTTCAATTTGAACAACATTCCCATGAACGACTGCGATTCCAGGTGCAAATCAAGGGTAAACATAGCAAATCCTAAGACTTGCAACTTGCCACTTTTGTACAATACGTCAGCAGCGCAAGGACAAACCATACGAGTGGAATCCAGCCACAGAAGGCCGAGACCTTAGGCCATGGCACCTTAGTGGCATGGTCTGTCCATTCATAAAAGATAGCTTCGATAGAAGCTAACGACCGACCACATCAAACAACACAAATGCCTGCTCATCTGACCCGGGTCGATGTGGCAGAAGCGAAACACACAAAACCAGCAAACCTGCCTGCGGAGGGGAATGATCTCCATGCCTCAGCATAATGGAGACAGCATGACTGAGAAGGAAACTTGAAGCAAATACCAAGCACCTTGCTTTACTATAATGAGCAATTCAAACCACCACACTCCAGGATCCGAACAAAACACTGGACAACTCACGAAGGGCACATACTTGATCACAGTTTACAAGCCTTCTCACACACCAGCAATGCAACATATACCACTCCATTTCTACAGCTTGTGCCATACCGCTTTGAGGGATACATCGGCTTTTTCTCTGCCATGACAATGGGAAGCCAACAAGGAATCTGGGGTAAGGCAGGGAAGGCGGGCTGGGACAGACTGTAGCTGCTTGCATTGATGTGCACAGCTGCGAACGTGCTCACTTAACAGTGCATCTGCTGCAAAGAGAGCCTTGTCTCTTTCACCCCCCCAATCCCACCCATCGACTTAAAACACTGGAAAAATCGCATCTGATTCCCAGAAGCGACCAGGAAAACGGACTGCATGAGGGAACGAATGCCAGCTAGCCACAGCCAGGGAGACTGATATCTTGCCAAGACAGCATCCATATGGTCCGTGACAGGCATGAATTGCCGGGAACTGTGCTGTTGCTCAATCAGCAGAATAGCAACAAGGGACTGCTTTGAACCGACAAGAAATCTGCACTGTAGTCTTTACATCCTTTATTGTTGGTGACCTCTTTGTGGGCAACGGCAGCATACAGCCCAGCCCTCAGCAACAGTGCCATTCTCACATGTGCTGGAAAAGCTTAGAACAAGACGTGATCCATCCAAGAAGTCACAACACCAGTCCTGCCCTTCAAGTGCCAGAACCAACTTTCTATCCTTGGCTATGCTGCACCACCAAGGAAATGCTTTGCACAAGAGCCCCACAAGCGTTCTTGCTCAGAAGGGGGGTGTCCACTGTACATCATATGTCCTTTCTTGTCAGAAGATATCGCAAGACACAAGCTGATCAGCGCTGCTGACCATGAAGCAAGCAACTGACAAACTCTGGTGACCTGGGCTGTTTCCTGATCCACCCAAGGGCCATGTGGCACATCTCAAGTGCACCCTAGTGCCTACCCATGAACCCACACAGCACAACTGTACAAATTTCGGGGATGCCCTATGCAATACAAGGTTTGACAAGGGAGCAACGGTGATGGTGCCAACTCGACACGCTGGAACAGCCCCACGCCATCGCGATTTCTTCAAAATCAAATGATCATGGTTGTGTGGTTTGTGACACTGGGGTACACGGGCCTGTGTCACTTTGCAACCAGGTTCAAACAGAGACGGCGTGAGCTGCAAACCAGGTTGGTGGATTCTTTGGGCACAATCTGCACCACAGCACTTGCAGTGCAGGCCGCTGGTTGCCGCACTATGAATCATACACCAAGATGTTCAGTCTGTTCTTAAAAATTCTCCAGGGTATGCCCGAAGAAACGAGTCAATAGCAATTGGAAGAGATCAACGGCAGCCACGATCAAAGCCAGCACACAGCCCAAGTAAAACTTCATGCATGTCACGACACAGGGTGGGAGACAAGGGCTGCTGCATGGCAGTTCCATGTTTGTCGCAGAAAGCCTGATACAGCATCGTCCTAAGAAAGGGAGTTATGTGGCGGATGGGATCCTGAAGCCATTCTGGCAGTGCCAGCCATAACATTTGCTCACAATGGAACAACATTCGAAAAGCCACACCACAGCTGCTCTTCCAGCATATCTGCCTGCTGTGCAAGGATAACATGCCAGCAATAGCAATTGCTGCTTCCTGACAGTCCATAGCAGCATATCCAAGTCGTTGCTGCAATAGAACTGCCACCATAGCCAACACAGCACTTCTGCCAGCTCACTGTCCACCCGGGGTGAGGCAGAAGGTCTCTTGATACTATGAGTGTGTGGGCAAAATTGGCTGTGGTGGCCATTATGGCAAAAATCTCTGAAAGAAATTTCCCATTTACAGGAAATGCCAACAGACAAACAAGGGTCTTTGGGATGGCAGGGGCAGCTCAGTGGCCAGCAGGCACATCATGCAGCGCAGTTGTGATACACAGACATGGCATGCTGTAAACCTAAGCAAAAACGCAGGCTCACGCCATCCCCCACTCTCCTCCTTGAACCAATTAGCCAACAATGAAACTGGTTCAGCATGACATATTGAGCAGTGATTTAAGTATGTCCCCAACGTTACAGTGGTTCCAGCTGTACCTCAAAACAGTGACCCTGTGCGCCTCCTCCTGGCCTGCTATTCCTTCATCAGCAAACAATGCTTTGTAGGCAGGGGTACCAGGCTTTGGGGACTGCAGGAAGTTAATGTACTCCTGCCAGACCGGGCCCGAGTTGATGTCCTGCCCAACACGATCGAGCGTGAACTCGTAGGCCTCTCTGACTTCTTTGAACTCTTTGACTCCATTAGCAGATGCCTTTTGTTGATTTACCTGGCAAACACAGCATTGACACATATCAAAACAAGGCAGTTCCTCAGGGACACATGACATGCCCCTGCACTGTGGGCACATGTGGCAGAAGGGTAGATGTGCTGTGCTGTTATCTTTACTTGCCTTTGACAAGGAAAGCAGTGCCCTAGCACCCTGTAGGCGATGAAATGCACGTACACATCCAACAATGGTCTTAGTCCAGCACCTGCTCATTTTATCTGCTCGCCGCCCATGTGGTCAGACACAAAAGTGGGTGTGCGGGTGTTCCAAAGCATCAACATCCGCATCTGCGCAGGCTACTCTGGATGGCACAATCGTCAAGCACCCTCCCTTACAAACCTCAAGCCTCACACGCTAGTCATCACTTTCCCAGCCTGTCACAAGCTGACCACACTGGTACTTGAAGTCTAGATCCTTGATCTGTTCTTTTACAGGCATTATAAATTGTGCTTACCCTTCCAGATGTGCAGCACAAAGTTGATTGAGAGGGTCCCATCAGCTGTCCACTAAATATCCCACCAGCTGCATCATTCAGCAATCCAACCAACTGCACAGATGGCGCAAATTTACAGATACCCCCGTTTGCCTTCAAGAGCCACTCTGCAACATAGTGGGGTACCCACCTTCTTGATGAAACGCAAATATGTCGTCCATAGGTCCACGTTCAGGCAATTCAACAGGCACTGACTGAAGATAGATTTCACCCTTCCGTGTTCATTAACAGCCATGGCAGCCTCTGCATAGGCTTTCCAATAACCAGCCTGGGCAGCACACAATGCAAGTGTCAGAAGTTGTGCTTGAGCCACAAAGCAGGCATGAACAGAAGCAACGACGTGCATGTATCAGCACAAGAGCCACAGCCTGAATTCGTAGAACTCAAAGCAAACAATAGCTTGTGGGAAACAGAATGACTGCAATATGGACAGTGCACTGGAGAGTTCCAGGCTGGTAAAACTCCCCCTGGCCACACAGGCTGACAACACACCCCGTGGCAACTCTCACCATTTCGATCCTGGCATAACAGAGGGACCTGCACGCCAGAATCGACTGCCAGGTGCAAGGGCAGTGTTGCGTCACATTGTGAGAATTGTAGTGGGCATGTTGACAAAATGTATTTTTAGGAAGGCGAGACCAGTGGCAGAACAATCTCTGTTGCCGCTTGCCATTCAGCTGGCCAACAGCTGTCCTTGCAAGTGATACATTCCACCAGCCATGGCCGCTCCAGGCGGGGTTGCTTTCTGCCTGGCAAGCTTTCCCCTTGTTCATCGCAAGGCAAGCTTCAACTCCGGCAGGCTGTCACTGCCGCAGGGTACAACTTTTTCTGGTGCTAACAATCTAAATAATCTGATGAGCAACACCGTCCCACGCTGGTGGGACGCAACACGGTCTAGTGCTGATGCTCCTCACACACTCATGAAGCAACAACCGCCCACACCGGTGGGGCACAACACTTTCTGGTGTTGACGCTCCACACAGAAATAATGAGCCGCAACTCACGGCCGTTGGGAAGACCGCCAGAAGCTCCTCGTACACCTCCTGCCGCTCCACGAAGCTCGCCCTCGAGTTGCCGCCGCCGCGGTAGTGCCCCATGAGCTGCTCCCACGCGCCGACGTCATACTTGTTCTCGCGCAGGCGGGTCTTCAGATTCTCCACCTGCGCACCGCGACAAGGGAGCGGTCAGGGCCAGTCGCCCCCCGGCACTGCCAAGCGCTGCTCATCCCCAACGGTCTTCCCGGCCACCCAAGGCCGGGGGGCCAAACACGCAATGAGCAACAATGCAAAATAATGCCAAACGTTGCTGCGGTACCGCCCCACATGGATGCACCCAGAGCTCCTTTTCGGAACGCCGTTTGGCTCAACGATCCCGCCACCCACGCCAGAGGCCATCGCGCGACGCAGGCTGGATGCGGCACCTCACTCTCGAGCGCGGGGACAGCCGGGACAGAAAGCCGCCGCTGGCCACGCAGGCCGATTGGCCGCCGCGGTCCAACACCGTCAGGGGGACAGGCCACGGGAAGCGTCCAGCCGCGCTCTGGTGCGGCTGCGGCCCACGGGCCGCCCACCTGCAGGAAGCTCATGCCGCGCGAGGGTGCGCTGCCTCCCGCTGCCGCCGCCGCTGACGCTGGTGCACGCCTCGCGAAGCCGATCCAGCCAGAATAGACGCTGGCCGTGCCCAGTTGCTGAATCTGGCACGCGTGGATGGGAGCTTTCGTGCATGTCAGGACGGACTTTTTCGCCCAGGCTCCAAAGCCCAAGGCGCTTGTTGCCGGCACTAGGAGCCAGGAGGGTGTATATGTATGGCGTGGCCTGGCGTCACTGTGGTAAATTTTCAAGCACCCCCGATGTTTCGCCTCTTTTGTTGGTCTTAGAGCATCTTTATCGGTGGGTGCTATTGTTCCGGCGGAGCTATTCAGGAACGGTTCTCATTGGCTGCCGTGCCACCTTACTAAGGTGGCATGTGCCAAATAGCGCCGGTGCTATTGGGGAGCAATAGCACCGGGCGTGCATCCGTAACGGTGGATGCCTTGGGGAGCAATAGCAACCCGTGGGCATCCGTAACGGGGGGTGCTATTTGCATGGTTCGGCTGTCCCAAGGCCCCTCCGCTGTACTAAGCCCCCTCCGCGTTGTTCCAAGCAGCCGCCGCCAAGTGCTGCGCGAATAGCACCAGTGCTATTCTGGGGAGCTATTCGGTCTCGAGCGGAGCTATTCTGGCCCCGAATAGCTCCGCTGGGCGCCGAATAGCTCCGGGGGAGCTATTGGGGAGTTATTGCTCCCCAACCGTTAATGATGGTTTTTTGACGTGCGGAGCTATTCGGATAGCCGAATAGCTCCGCCGGAACAATAGCGCCGACCGATAAAGATGCTCTTATATTATATGCCGGGAACGCGGCTAAGAGCCACCCAGAAATGTATTTTTTAGAGTCTGACTCAGCGTTCTTGTGTAAGAATCGACCCCTGTGACATGGGGGTTACGTGAGTGGCGGGACTCTCCGAGTCAGCTGTTGCGGGCATGCATTCGCGGGTTCGGCCGGGTGTGCTCGAGGGCAGCCGACGGGAGGCGGGCGGCTATCGGTGCCGCAGCTGCGGCGCGCCGTGTTCGTTTGCGCTCGAGGCGTGCGTTCCCGGCGCGATCCCGCATCGTCATGGCGGTCTCAGAAAGTCGTGGGTGTGTCTAGATGTAATGGCGATGGCGTAGTGTGAGTCTGACAAGGGGCTTCGCCAAAATGGGCGCTGCTTCCAAAGCACAGTGGGGGTTAGAAACGCAGCTTTCTGAAGCTGTTCCCATGGCACCCAGCACCCTACCGACCTCGTTGCATGTTCCTTTCGTCCAATCATGCGGGCGCATGCAAGGCCGTGCACTAGAGGTGGCCACTCAAAGATGCCATCCGGTCCGTTAAGTCCGGTTCGTTAATTTTTATCAGCTGTCCGTTAAATTTCGTTAAAGAAAAAGGGAGAAAAATTCAGAAAAAAGGAAAAAAATCCAAAAAAATCGAAAAAAACCCCAAAAAATCACAACAACTGCGGTTAGTTGAAAATCTAGTATGCATAGGTTGAAATAAAATACAAACATACTCTCTAATAGCGAATTCCATAAACTATAAGTATGAAAAAAACCCAAAAATCCCCAAAAAATCCAAAAATCTGTTAATTTTTGGTTAATTTTTGTCTTTTTTCGTTATTTTCCGTTAATTAACGGAAAATTAACGGAAACTAACCTCTGTCCGCTATTAACGGATCCGGGTGGCCACCTCTACCGTGCACCAATGGTGCAAGTTTCCGACCATCAAGAACAACAAACCAAAATTTTAGTTGCCTTTCACATCTGGCCGTGCCGCGAAGCAGCTCTTGAGCCCTGCGATGGCACTTAGCTATAGCCATCGGGGTGGCGGTCGATGCGCAGAGCATAATTGCCATATCGTACGCCTTGCTGCCCAGGGCCAAGGAGCCCAAGGGTGGCACAAGGGAAGATCGTTCAGTTGTGGGTCAAGAGAGAATGTTGCGATCGGGAAAGGTGCAACAAGTGCTCCATCCAAGGGGGGATTCCTTGGGAAAGGTGAGGCCAACAATCATGCGGTGCATTCTGGCGATGGTGGGGAATTCCATAACTGAAAGCGGTAGGATGGCAGGCATCTTCGTGGAGTTTTTAGAGGTACGGTCAAGGGTGGTCGATGGGAGGGGCGTAGCTATCGCCATCGTGGTTGTGGTGCTCGGTGCCCACTTAGGCTCGAAGCGCGTCTTCCGACGCGATGCTGCGTGACTGTAGCGGCCAGGGCCGATGGCCGCAGCAGCAATGGCTCGCATCCCAAAACTCAATATTCAAAGTTGCAGCCCCCGACAAGGACTCCCCATGTAGCATAGTGGGAGCAAACTCACGCGGTAGTGCCGTGTAGCCCTCGGCACAGCAGCAGTGGCAAAGGACATAACGAAGAATGTGATAAGCAAATCGACAGGGAATGAAAAACATGAATAATGCAACAGCGCAGCCCAGCCTGGCCAGCGAGTCAGTTGCTTTGATTAGATAGCATAGGAACGAAAAAGTGCAGAACGTCGGGGCCAAAGGCCCAACTTCCAGACTGGTAACTATTATGATCTTCCAGGGCATGACGGGCTAGCTCGGCCAGTGCATAGTGAATGGGTATTGAGACATTTCTGATCATAGAATGACAATCGCATGATTGACTCTTTTGTTCCGTTGACCCTATGAATAGGCGACCATCGTCAATTGCTGGCCAAACTGCATCCCTTCTGAGCCCTTTAAACTGCTCAGTCGACACTTGTTGGTCCAAAACCATGTGGATGCATCGATGATGATGACTCCCATTATTCCTATCCCTCCGCCGGGACTGGACCATCAAGACCGGGACTGGATTGTCAAGGTTGGGGAATGGATCGTTGAGGTTAGGCATGGATCGTCAAGGCCGGGTACGAATCGTCAAGATCAGGTGAGGATCATTAAGGCTGGGTTGGCAAATTAAGGATGGGAAGTTTGGACCATTATGTTGGGATGCTTGTGTGATGGGGAGGCCACAAACCCTTTGTGACCAACGGAGGCTCAACCCGTACATCCCATTCAATTCAGCAGTCGGTCAAGAGAGAGAGAGTGATATGGACCCGACTAAAGAAATGCTCGACTGAAGAAATGGTCGAGAGAGAGAGAGTGGTATAGACCCGACCTAAGAAATGCTCGGGGAGAGAGAGTGATACGGACCTGACCAAAGAAATGCTTGGACTGGGATTTGAACCGAGGGCCTCTTTGGTAAGCAAAGCGGGTTTCTTCTTGCGCCACCAAGCCTCGTCAGTGGCCTTGCTTGGCACCTTGGGGGCTCAGGGTATTATATTCTCCACATCAGAGAGAGGGAGATGGAGTGGGATTGGAACAGAAGATTTGTATTACAATTTGTAATAATATATTTTGAAAATAGAAGCCGGGCCCCTAATTTTACAACTGCCCGGGTTGCAGCAATGGGGCAGCCCAAGGGGTGCTGCTAAGAACCCAATTTGAATGTTTGACTTTGTCCCGTTCGCCCATTCGCATCCCCATATCCCAAATGAGTCATCAGTTGGTCACTGTGTTCATCCGCCCCACACAGTATTTTGACCCACCAGGCAACCAATTGTCCACAATTATTTTTGACTTGTTTGTGGTTATGCTACCGTATTCACAAACGTGGCAGTTCCCCATAGTTGTTCACCCTTCTACTAATGTACATTATTTTATTATAGAAGGTGGGTTGCTCCGGCCCATCCGTTCTAATATCCAAGGCTAATTTTGGTCAATTTATCCCATAGTACTTTAATACGCAATGTACTGAGTAAACCCTTACACTCTGTTAGACCTACTACAAGGCGTCCTCGTCTCACGTTGCTACCGAGGTATCGACCCGCTCTTCAAATTCATGCAACAATCGTTAAGCTCCTAGAAGATTTGCTGGTGGTTCCTATATATTTTCGTAGTTGTCATACCCCTTCTACTTGATAAGGTACTCGGGTTGAGTGTTATGCCCAAACCGTCAGAGGTGCTTGTCGACGATTCGTTCGACTGCAAATTCCTCATGGGCTTGGATTAGTATGGGCGGGGGTCACACTTCCTCCAGGCATGCGAATTGCCTCTGGTCCTCATGGTAGGGCCGCAACTTTGACATATAAAAAATCGGATGAATCTTCAGCGAAGGAGGTAACTCCAAATGATACACCCAAGGTGAGATGATTTATATTATCATTATGGGCCCATAGAATCGTTCAGCTAGCTTTTGCACTTTGGCACCCATGGAAATGTGTGTCATGTCGAGTAGTACTTGGTCCCCAATCCGGAAAGTAGCCTCTTGGCAATACTACTGAAAGTATTTATCAACATACTTCTTTTGGTATTCTTAGGCCTCCTTGGTGGCTTGTCAAGCACGTGTGGTGTCATCTTGCAGTCGGGCCACTATGGTTGCAGCTGACTCATTCTGATGTTCCTCGGGCCCCCGAGTCCATGAGAGACTGTAGCAGTCTTTGCAGATGTTGTCTTGTCATCAAGAAAAATGGTGCCATCTTGGTACTGGCGTGCTAAGTGAGTGGACTTGTAGGTATATTCAATGATTGGCACGTGCTCGGCCGATCTTCGCTGGTCATACACCACGTAGGCCCAAAGAATTTGCTTCATCATGCAAATGGCCCATTTGCTGGCCCTGTCGGTCTGTGGATGATGGGCCGTCGATGGATACAGTTTGGTTAACAATTGTCGCCACAATGCTTTCCAGAAGTTTCTCATGAACTGAGGGTCTTGGTCACTAACAATTTGTTTTGGGAGGCCAAAGTTTCTGAAGAACTATTCTACAAAATTCGGGTTAGTTGTGGTGTTGTCGCCATTAAAGTCGTTGGTGCAAATCGAACCATCTTGGTGAATCGATCTGTAAAAACTATTGCAACATCATACCCTTCCATGGTCTCCAGTAAGCATATCACCAAGTCTATGGTGATATGAGTTCACTTCCTGTCGAGCACCGGGAGTGGGCGCAACAACCTGCATGGGCATTGTGTCCCCACTTTGGTCTTCTAGCAAGTGTCATATGTATGCACATACTCCCATGCATC